CGGGGAGCCGGCTCCGCGGGCCGGGCTGGCCGCGTCTGGCCCTTTAAGCGCCGCCCCGAGGAGGCGCCAGGCCCTGGTGGCGCCGGTCTCTCCTTCCTGGTCTTGCGGGGCTGGGACGGGCCGAGGGGCTTGGGAAGGCCACGTGCCCGGTGCCAACGCAGGTGCCCGCGCCTGGCCCCATGGCCCTGGTCACTGTGAGTCGCTCGCCCCCGGCCAGCGGCCACGCCACGCCGGTGGGGCCGACGGTGAGTCGCCCTGCTGTGCCCTGCCCACGCAGTGAGCTGCCAGCTGGGTCTGGCGGAGCCACTTCTGCCCACCGGCAGCCTCCCCTCGGCCCCGGGGTGTGCGGAGTGGAACCCCAAGTCTCAGTCTGGAGGGGGGCGGGGAATCTTGAGGCTCCCAGGAACTAGGACCAAGGTAAGAGCTGGACAGTCCAGACTGCGGAGGCCCCACCCCCTCCTGGCCCAAATCTGGGCCAAGCCGTGGGCACCTCCTTGTCCACCACCTTGGCGGTCCAACCTCACAGCCCCTGGGGCTACTTCTTCAGCAGGATCAGGCGTCCGCTCGGAGAGGCCAACTGCAGCGAAGGTGAGCACCTGCGGCGGCCTCCCCACCTGCTGCCAGGCCTGGCCAGCTGCTGAATGTGCGGGTGGCCATGCAGTGGGCACGGCTGGGGGGCACGGCTGGGGGGCTGGCGGCCCAGACCTGGCCTTGTCCCTCTCCGGCGCTCCATCAGCTGCACCCCTCTGCTCCCCTGGAGGCTGGCTCAGCCAGAGGCCTCAAGCCGAGGGGCAGGGTGGGTGACAGGGCCTGGAGACTCCAAGCGTTCAGCCTCCCCGCAGGTAGGCAGGCCAACGGGAAAGTCTTGCCTGCCACCCGCAGGCCGGAGTGGGGCCTCCGCAGCGCAGGCCGTCCAGTCTGGCGCTGGGCTAGAAGTGCCCACTGTCAGTTCCACGCCCGCCGACGCGGGGAGGTGCTGCCTAGTGGGCCCCCGGCATCCTGACACCGCCTGCCCGGGCCGGAGGGTCTCACCCACGCCCCCACCCCAGACAGAGCTTCGCAGTGCTCCATGGGGCGGTCCTGGGGCTTCAGGACGGAGGGGGCAGTGCAGATGCAGCTGAGGCCCGCCTCGGGCCCAAGGAGGAACCCCCGGGTGAAGAGGAGCCGGCCGGGGACCGCACAGACCAGGGGCTGGGGCCCCCGAGTCTCGGGAAGCAGGATCCGCGGCGGCACCTGCACCTCATGGTGGGACTGCTGAGGCCTCAGGACGACATCCGCCTGGTGAGCGCCCCGAGGGGCACGGAGGAGCCAGCCGTGTGCTTGGGGAGCAGTCGGGGTGTTTCAGCCAAGCTGTGAGGCCAGGGCTCAGGAGGGATGCGGAGGGCGGGGGCGCGTGGCGTCGGAAGAGGCCCCCAGGGGAGCGGAGCCTCGGCAGCTCTGGCCAGCCTGGTCAGCGAGGGCTCACACGTGGACCGGTGCCTGTGTGGGTGCTGTGGGGCCGTGGCACCAGGGGACGGTTCCCAGAGGCTGTGGGGGTGGCAACTTCTGTAGCAAATGGGGAACAGCTGAGGAACAGCTGAGATCTCCCCTGGAAGCGCCTCTTGTACCTCCGAGACCGAGCCCCTGGGTTCCCTTGGTGAGAGCCCCTTCCTGAAGGAAAGGGTGGTCCCGACGGGGAACGGGGTCTTCCTTCCTAGGCAGAAATCGAAAGTGGGTGAGCTGTGTCAGGCCCCTTCTCCCTTTCACCCACGCACGTGCCCTTTCAGAGAAAGTTCTGGAAACCCTGTGGGGACCTGAATCCCACAGCTGGCAGCCACCCCATCAGTGCTGACCTGGGGCTGAGGGGCTGGGGCCAAGGACTGAGCAGGGGTAGGGCCTGATCCAGGCCTGGGGTGTGTTGGGGGGGCATGGGGAGAGGGGTCCCCTGGGCCACTGTGACCTGGGCTTCCCCCCCCCCCCAGGCAGCCCAGCTAGAGGCAGCACGGCCCCCCCGGCTCCGCTACCTGCTGGTCGTTTCCACAAGAGACCTTCTGAGCCAGGACGAGACGGTCCTCCTGGGGGTGGACCTCCCTGACGGCAGGTGGGGTGAGGGGGCGGAGGGCGGGGGGAAGGGGCAAGGAGGGGCTCTGGGGACAGTGGCTCTCCTGTCCTCTGCCAGCTCTCCCAGCTGCACCCTGGGCCTGGTCTTGCCTCTCTGGAGCGACACTCAGGTCTACCTGGATGGAGATGGGTAAGCGGCAGCGGGCAGGAGGGTGGAGCGGCCAGGGCGATGCACCGGAGGGGGCAGGCGCTGACGGCAGCAGAGTCCGGCTGGGCCTGGGTTTGCCGGGGAGCCTGGGCCAGTGTCCTGACTCCCCAGGTGGCTGGAGCTGGGTGGTGCGTGCGCCCCCTGGCACGGCGGGCGGGCGGGCGCTGCCCCGAGGCCGGCGGTGGGCCCCACTGCGCCCGTCCTGTGCAGGGGCTTCAGTGTGACGTCCGGGGGGCAGAGCCGCATCTTCAAGCCCATCTCCATCCAGACCATGTGGTGAGGCCGGGGGCCCGTCAGGCGGCCTGTGGGGTCTGGGAGGGGCAGCGGGTGCAGAGTGTGACTCCGCTGCCATCGGCCGGCCGCAGGGCCACGCTGCAGGTGTTGCACCAGGCATGTGAGGCGGCCCTGGGCAGCGGCCTCGTGCCAGGCGGCAGTGCCCTCACCTGGGCCAGCCACTACCAGGACAGACTGAGCTCTGACCAGAGCTGCCTCAACGAGTGGATGGCCATGGCCGACCTGGAGTCTCTGCGGCCTCCTGGCACTGAGCCCGGCCGGTCAGTGAGCGGGGGACGAGAGGGGGCCGGGTGGGACAGGGAAGGGGCCCTGGGCTCATGGACCGGGCCCCCAGGCCCTCAGAACAGGAGCAGATGGAGCAGGCGATCCGGGCCGGGCTGTGGGAGGTGCTGGACACCAGTGACCTGG